AATCCGAATTTACAAAGCTAATTCCCAGAATGCCCGCAGTTCTAAACCTGGATCTTGCGCAGGGTCGGTCGAATGCTCGGGTGGGGTAGAACCTTCGTTGCCTAGTTACAGCGTCTCTTTTCTGGAAGCCTGTTTTCTCTGGCTTCGGATTGGAAAGACTGGTGGGAAGGTACAGAAAGGCGGGGCCGTGGTGGCGTTTTGTTTCTGATTATCTGTGCTACAGCAGAACCTTGCTGGCTCTCACCATTCTGGTAGCGTTTCCTGATGTAGCAAATGAAAACATACAAATAAATAAAATAAAGTCAGATTTTTTTAAAAATTTGAATTTAACATCAATATTTTTTTATATAAGTATATCCCAAATATTGGAAACTTTATAAAAAGTTATTCGTCGTTTATCTGAAATTCAAATTTAACTAGACATTTTGTGTTTTATCTTGCAACCATAGACTCTGGAGAAAAAATCTGAGCTGAAATATCAACTACCACTCAAACTGGTTCAACTGGCTGTAGCGGTGCTTGGCCAAGAAGCGAATTCATCAGTGGGAGTGGTCTGATCCACCCTTCACTGTCAGTGCTTGAAGTTCCCCAGCCCTGCCCTGCATACTTTCAAGAATGAATGCCTTCCTTGACACCATCACCAGCGCCCCTTCGGAGCCTGTAGAAAACCTATTCATCCTGAAAATTTCAGCTCCTTTCTGATGCTCTCCCCGAACCTTCAGAGAGAAGCATATCCTCACTCTTTTGTCTTTTGATAGTACTTTGGCCATTTGCTGATACTGCTTTTATCAGGTGATATTCAAATTGTTTGCCTGGCTGCCGTCCCCCTTCCTCCTCAACCTGATCCTTGAAGATTTTTGTCGTCTTGGAATCTTACACGGACTTCTTTCTGAAAACTGACAATTGTATTTGCTTGTTAAATGTCTGCCTTCCCAGGCAGATAGTAAGCTGAGGCAGGGTCTGTTCCTGGTAATAGTGAATAAGTTTTAGTTGTATTAGTGAATTTCTTTATCCAATGCCAGCACAGTCCCTGACATATTATATACCCAATAAAATGTATTGAAAATATTTTGTAGAGTGTACCTCATAAAAATTACAGTGCAGTGATATAATTCAAATAGCGTTTTGGTTGTAGGATTTGAAGTGTATTAATGAGTTAACCTTAATGAGTAAGGCACAGGTAGGAATGGATATTCTGCTCTGTGTTATTGAAGCATCAGAGCATAAAAGTGATGAAGACTCAAGGATATTTATTCAAGCTTAATAATTTGCAGTTGGCTTCACAGATAACACCAATGCCAACAGATGGTATACAACATTGCTTTGGTCTCCTTTTCATTTTCGCAATAGGTTAAGACAAAGAGTGTGGGCAGACATCCTGAAAGGTATAAATGAAGGTTAAGCCTAATTTATTGAGCCCCTGGTTTGCCACTGCAATAGTTCTGATCACAATACAATTTAGAAATTGTACCATGACTCTTTTAAGATCTCTATGCCAATACTCCTTCAAAAGAGTTATGATCTTTTTTCAAAGCAGAACAAATATTTTCAATCTTTATGATCAAACATTTACTGAGTGCCTAATCTGTAAAAGACTTTGTGGGGAATACAAGGAATATTAAACATAAGTCCCTATGTTTTAAAACTTTTTATCTTTCCTAGTTTTTATATACCTTTTACCAATAGTATAAAGGAATTCACTTTTCTTGAAAGGTTCTTTGTGTTTTAAATACTGTAGAACAGGCGGACCTTTATAAATAGATATTCATAAAGGCACACTATTGCTGAGTCTCTGTTAGGGGAGGGGATTGAGAAAACTTCAGGCTGTTCCAACAAAGTCTGAAAAACATTGGACATTCATCATGCTCCAATATCTGACCTAGGCGCTGAGCACTAAAAGGCAAATAAATCATGATTCTGCACATGGTTCACAATCTCACGTGGGTGCAAGACTCCATTTATGATCAGCTAAACCTTAAGCAAAGGCCTCTATTTAAGGCTATTTTCTAAAAGTCAAAAGAACATTGTAGCAGCAAGATTAAGCTATAAATCTGGGGATAATTCTAATTACAGTATAATGTCCTGCCTGAGTGTATGGAATCAAGGTATGCCTTTAGAGAATTTTCTTAGAAACCACTAAAAGTAGACTGAAATACTTACGTGCAGTGTATTCAGATTACGCTTAATAAAATATGAGGGTAATCAGTAGTAGTTGTAATATAAAATGACCTATAAATGGAGAATGTGTAAAATAAATGCGGAGATCATCTTCCCTTGAATTCAGCTCTTTGTAAATACATATGTAAATTAGCTTCCTTGGATAATGTTGAAATGGAAAGGCAACGCAGTTGTATCGAAAGCCTGCTATCTGTGTCTAAGGCACAAGGCAAGGAACGTCTGGCATGAGCTTTACCACCAAGGAACCAAGACAGAGTTAAGGCATATGTAAATATCCATGATAAAAGGTGGGAAGTAATAAATGCCATGAGAGAAATAAAAAACAAAACACTGGGAGTTCAGAGAGAAAGAGTATTTCTAGCTGCCAGCATTTAGCTAGTAGAAGTAAAGGTTATTTATGCATCTGTTGGGAGTAAGACCATTCCAAGAAAAAGATGATCAGGGTACAGAGACAGGTACTGTCTCTGACTGTCCAGTGGACACTGTTGTGTAATTATACAGGACAAGGGTAGGGGAAGGGCTCAGACAGGAGAAGGGTGGCATTTCCAGTGAAGATTGGAGCAAACTGTTAGAGGATCTTACTAAGAAAAGTGGACTTGATGTTGAGCCAGACTTCCAGCCAAGACGAGGTTTTCAATTAATATTTTGAGACTCCTCACTCACCATTCTGCTTTAAATGGAAAAATAAGAAATATAAGTGAGAAAATGAAAACATTACAGATACGATTTTATAAAGAACATAAACACTTCCATGTATTAGAAACAGAACCAAAATGCAAAATGGTAATGAGACCAAAGCCATGCAGATCCTGGACTCTATATGCGGAAGCAAGAAAACATGACCAGGATTCGGCTCTTGTAGAATAATAGACTAACAGGGCTCCATGTGTGGCCTTTGTGGGAGATTTACATTGGTGACCTGCAATGAACCACTTTCCAATACTCACACCCTTGTCTAAGCCCCTCCCACACTGACTCTGGGCTTGGCCATGTGACTTGCTTGACCAATGGGGTATCAGTAAATGAGATACAGCAGAAACTTACTAAGTGCTTATGTACCGGGGCATGTCCTGTTGGAACCTTTCCACTTGAAAGCCAACAGCTAGGCTATGAAGCAGCTCTGGCAAGACACTTGAATGATGAAAAGCCAGATGGAGAGACGTTGGAGAATGAGAGTTCACCTTGGGCATTCCAGTGGCAGACGAGTTCCCATTCCCTGATCACAAAATCTATGAAATACTTCATTATGTATTAAATAATTATTAGGCACCTACTCTATGCAAAGCATTGTTCTCACCCTGAGAATTATGAGTAAATTAGACGAAGTCTAGCTCTCGTTGACCAAATCTATTAAGCTTACAATTTTAACCAGTCTATTGCTTCCCTAAAAATCCTTAAAATGGATTATTTGTGTCATTTCCTTTATCAAGTATCTCAGATAGCATTTTAATCTCATCCAACCCTGGCCATTGTGCTGTTCAATCTGTTTCCATCTCTAAATGGCCTCCCACCACATCACTTTAGTCACAGATTTATAATCTGAGCTGTCATATTAATAATTCTCTGGCCTTGTGTCTTAGATAATTAGGGATATCATACATCACTGGCATTTATTGTATTTGCTTTAAGCTCTTGGGGATTTTTTACATTTTGCAACAAGTTGAGAATTATCAGCCCACATACCAAAGCTATTAGTATGACAAATATTCCTGTATAATGACCAGTGAATTCTAATAAGGCAATAGGCCAGTTACCCCACCTCCACCCTGAGGAGCAGCCCCACCCCAGGTCAGACCTAGCCTCAGAACCCAAGTGCCAATCTCTTGGTGGTTATTGGGGGTTGAGGAGGATACAGGGAGGGGTTTTAGAAGTGGAAAGCCAGATGGCAAATAGTTTTGTCCTAGCCCAGAATTCCTGAAAATAGCTCTACCTAAATGGCAATTAGCCAAAACATGGGTTGAGTTGGTTTGGGGATAGATCCAAAGATATCCAGGGGAGTCAGTGGGCTCTCCTTCCCCCTAGGATGTGGGTCAAGTTAAACTGAGTCTCAAAGGAAAGATTGGTTTCCAGCTGATTCTTGGATCACATTTATTTAACCTTGTTTAGCATCTTAAGCCTTCTGAGAGCTACTCCTTAGGTTTTCCTAAACTGATGTCAAGTTTTGTTGAGCTTCTGTCTCTCCCCACATCCCCACTTCTAAATGCCTTTCTCTCTTCAAAACATTTTTTTCTTTAGCATAAAATTTAGAGTAAAGCAAATTAAATAACACACAATTCTATGGCTTGAATAATGGTGTTTATTTTCTTTAAATACACTTAAATATGAAACAACAGACAGGAGTTCAGTAAAGTCAAAACTACAAGCTGGACAGTAATGAGAAATTCAGTGCTGATCATACAAATCAAAATCTGCATAAAGAAGAAACAGAATAATTCACAAAAGAGTTGCAATTAGCAAAGAACTGAGAGACTATTCAAACTGCCTCATCTGCTGTGAGTAAATCAGTCACATGGCACTTGTCATTCCGTGATGATGGGACCTTTTTCATTCACCAAACAGAAAGGGTTACAGAGGCTCCTCTTCTCCACTCCTTGATGTGCAGAGGCACCTTCAGTTAAAAGACCTCAGCTGGTGTTTAATGGAAGGTTGTTCTGGATTCACCCGGTACTATGTGAAATTAATTTTTTCCAACACCAGGAAAAAAAACCAAAAAACAGTGACAGCAACTTGGCAAAGCGGCATGCTGTTTAAAATGACAGGGAGGGGGAACTTGGAAACAAAGCTGAATCAAGGATTTTCTTGACTGTGGAGCCCATGGGCAGGCCTTTTCTCCTTTGGAAAGCGGCAATGCTTTGCACAGGCTGGCTTCCCATTTGCACACATTCTGGTGTGAAAGGGGCATCCATCCTCACAGCTGTTGCAAAAGAAAATAAACATGAGAATTCAGAATCCAGGACTATATTCAAAGGAATAACTCTGTTCTGATTTAATTAAGTTTTTAAGTAAATTTTCCAGATCTGTATTTAAAATGTCAATATAAAATCCTGAATGGTTATCCCACATGGATTCCCAGTCTATTAAAGTGCAGTCAGTAACCTCTAACTGTTCTAGTCATCAACAAATTTCTTGCTACATAAATCCAGTGACATCCCCTTCCTCAAAGAAAAAACAACCAAATAAACATATATGAACACTTATTGAGAGAGAGATTGAACCAAAGTCTACTGCTGTGAAACCCCCTACAAATAATTATTTACATCTCATCAATCTACTTTTTTTGCTTAAGATCCATAAGCCAATAATATCAAGCGGGATTTTCTTGATTTCTCAATTAATCATCATTCTATATACTCTTGCTTATTTCTTAGTTGCCACACCTCTGTGTTACTATCAAAAAGGGGCTTGGGGGCTGAAAAAAAAAGGCTCAATAAGGAATCCAACTAAATCAAAATGGCCTTTACATTAAGTGTCAATGAGTGGAGTTAGGCGAGAGGGAAAAAGCCATTCACCTGCAGGTGTCTGGGTGAAATACCTTGTGCTTCCGGCAGCAGCTCTCCAGGCTCTCTCTGCACTCGATGCAGCTGCAGTTCTCGGGGTGCTGGATGAGATTGCCCGGGCAGGGCGCTTTACACACGCACTCGCAACGATCTTCGTCGAACTTCATGTGTGGCCCACAGAGAGTCAGTTCCTGGAGGGGAGAGGGGTCTAAACAGAAACAAAAGTGTTGGTTGAATAGCTGTAGCATGGATAACGTGATCCCCAAAGTGTACACTTTACGTCATTCTCTATTAACTTGGATTCTCTAAATCTCCTTTCTTGTAGATTTTTCCCCCTAATCTTTGCACAGCAAAGGAGATTCACCTCTAATTTCACAGTACGAATACAGAATTCATGTGGTCTCTTCAGTTTGTGATTAAAATGTTATAAACTGAATATTCTTGGTAACATTTTTTAGAGACTTTTAGATTGGTGACTTGTTAAAAAGCTTATTACTCATACAACCAGGTATGAGTAATAAAATATAGGGTGTCTAAGGATTATGAGTCTAGTCCTTCCCAATTTTTAGGTGAAGATTAAAAGGAGAGAGGAACAGAAGTATCGACACTGTAGAAACACCCCTCAGACCTTCCAGGCTGTGGGTAGAAACAGTAATGTATTTCCTCACCACAGATCACAACACTGATACAAAAGATACAACAGTGACAATGAACTTGGAGTGCACAGACACCTGCTGGGAGATATGTTCAAGTGAGAGAGGAGGGCCTGAGAAGTTTTTGACACACTTAGCTGACAGACACTTCTAGAAAGTGTGCAATTGCTCCATGTCCAATTCTAAGCATTAAGATGAAATTCATTGCAAAAAGTGAAACTTTGGAATAACTTGACTAGATCACCTTAGCATTCTTGAAGGTTTTAGAGCAAGTAGAGGTTTACTTCCTTCCCCAGATCTGCTTCTCCCCAGTTTGCCTGATTTCAGGAGAGGGGCCATCACTCTTGACTCATCTGCCGTATTGAGCCTCATCAGGTCCACCCAGCTCTGAGCTCTACTCACCTGAACTTGTTCTTTCTTTTCCTTCCCCGCTACCACTGCCTCAATTCAGCGAGAACCTTGTACTTTTTGTGTACATGGCTGTCACTCACTGGCCAACACAAATTTTACCCCTTCGATCCATTCTCCATAAGGTTATCAAATGCAAATCTAGTCACTTCACTACTGCTTCAAGTACCTTAAAAGGTTGCCCTCTCTTTCAAAATAAAAGACAATTTCCCCACCAGGAATACAAGACCCTCTATGAACTGACATGAACCCTACACACCTCTCTCTCTCTCTCTCTCTCTCTCTCTCTCTTCTCCCCCCCCCTTATACATAGCCTATGTTCCATCCATAACAATTACAGTACTTTTTGTTCTCCTGATATGCCAGGGTCTCTCAGACGCATGCCGTTGGCCTTTGGTACTTCCCTCTGCTAGTAATTCTTTCCCCCAATATCTTTCTAAAACTCTGCAAGTTTAGCTAAGTGCCCTTGCCATGTGCATATTTCCACCCTGTCCATTTTTACATTTCCTACATTTGTCTGTTTATTTCTCTGTTTCCTCCATTAATAACAAAAAATCCTAAAGGTTATAGGAACCAGGTCTCGTTGTTCTGGCATAAAATGGGCACTTGATAAATGTTTGTTGAGTTTATTTAGTATAATAAAAAGATCCCGAATGCAACCACATGTCATCCAATTTCATAGTTTTAACTGCTTGATAATTGATGATCTTGGAGGGATCATGTGAAATGGGTATTGGAAAGCTAGATGTGGGAGGACTCCACTCTGAATTGTGTGAAGAGGGAAAAGATGTGCTTTGTAAGCCATATGCCAAAGCAAATGCCACTTTGGAGCAAAATGCGAATAGCTTGTTAAATGATAGTTAAAAGTGCTTACAGATTTGCATGGATCACAAGGTGGCAGTAGAGACTCATTCAGAACACTTCAGGCAAGAATAACACCATTCTTAGACCCATGGTTTAGGGAAACAACCCACTAGGTGTTCGCTGAACTGCAGCAAGGTAGTTAATAGAGGCTGCCTCGGTTCCTCTAGACAAGTTAAAGTAACGGAGATTGGAGATAGGAGAACTGAATGAAGCAGCAACGAGCTAAGGGTGATACCCCGAAGTCATATATGCATATATATGTGAAGTAATATTATTGTGGACACTATTACAAATGTCCCTCGTTTATGTCCACCTCCACCCAGCCCCTGATCCCCTCCTTCCCTGGCCTTCACCACCCTGTTCTCTGTGTCCATGGGCTATGCATATATGTTCTTTGGCTAATCCCTTCACCTTCTTTTACCCAGTTTCCCCAACCCCCCTCCCCTCTGACATCTGTCAGTCTGTTCCATGTATCCATGCCCCTAGTTCTATTTTGCTTATAAGATTCTACATATTAGTGAGATCTTATGGCATTTGTTTTTCTCTGACTCACTTATTTCACTTAGCACCATACTCTCCAGGTCTATTCATGTTCTGTTGCAAAGGATAAGATTTCCTTCTTTTTTACAACTGCGTAGTATTCCACGGTGTAAATGTCCCACAGCTTTTTATCCACTCATCTACTGATGGGCACTTGGGCTGTTTCCAGACCTTAGATACTGTAAATTGCGCTTCTATGAACATAGGGGTGCATATATTCTTTCTGATTGGTGTTTCGGAATTCTTAGGATATATTCCCAGAATTGGGGTGGCTGAGTCAAAAGGCAGCTCCATTTTTAATTTTTGAGGAAACTCCATCCTGTTTCCCTGAGTGGCTGCCCCAGTCTGCATTCCTACCAGCGGTGCACTAGGGTTCCCTTTCTCCACATCTTCACTAGCACTTAGAGTTTGTTGATTTGTTGATGGAGCCATTCTGGCAGGTGTGAGATGACACCTCATTGTAGTTTTAATTTGCATCTCTGGTGATTAGTGATGTCGAACACTTTTTTCATATGTCTCTTGGCATCTGTATGTCCTCTTTGGAGAAGTGCCTATTCAGGTCCTTTGCCCCATTTTTTAATTGGATTGTTTGTCTTCCTGGTGTTGAGTCGTATAAGTTATTTATATATTTTGGAAATTAACCCTTTATCAGATGCATCCTTGGCAAATACGTTCTCCCATACAGTGGGTTCCCTTTTCATTTTGTTGATGGTTTCTTTTGCTGTACAGAACTTTTTAGTTTGATGTAGTCCCATTTGTTTATTTTTTCATTTGTTTCCCTTGCCCTAGGAGATATATTGGCAAAAATATTGCCTCAAGAAATGTCTGAGATTTTACTGCCTATGTTTTCTTCTAGGATTTTTATGGTTTCACCACTTACATTTAAGTCTTTATCCATTTTGAGTTTATTGTTGTGTATGCTGCAAATTGGTGGTTTAGTTTCATTTTTTTGCAGGTACCTGTCCAATTTTCCCAACACAATTTATTAAAGAGACAGTTTTTACTCCATTGTTTCTTTTGACCTTTTTAATGTGAGTACTATATAAAATGTAATTTATATATGTGACTCACTGTAATTCCATTGGACAGTAGTGCTCTGGAGAGAGAGATTTAGGTTCAATATAGTTTACTAGCAACTAGAGTGTGGCCAGAGTAGCTGCGCTGCCTTGGTCAGGGGTGACTTTTCCCATGACTGATGTGTAGTCTAGCAGAGGATGTCTGAGCACTTGGTAGGAAGGATGTAGATAACATTCAAGATCTTCATTGGCATTAAAACTACATGGACGTTAAGTTTCCCTTAAAACCTGGGTTGAGCTTTCATGCTGACAGACAGAAATATAGGAAGTAGGATGCTACTTATGGTTTCAAGGGACTGATTCCTTAGAGTTGAATCCTTACTAGTCTTGCTTGCAAGTCATAGTTTAAAACAAGCAAGGTTCAAATTGCATGATTCCTTGCATTTTTTTTTTTCAGTGGAATCATATCAAGTTCTCTGGGAAATAAACAAAAACGCATTCATTTTCAGCCAAATATTCATCACCAAAAAGCATAGCATTATGAGATATGAACAGTGATGGTTGCCTATCTCATTTGGTTCCTAACTCTCCCTAGTCCAATAGCTGTGTTTTGCTTTTAGTTTGCTTTAGTTTCAGAAAAAGTTTCCTCTTTTCACCACCACTCCTTTTTTCAAATTATTGGCTTGTTTTCATATGACACAGTCAAAAGAAACCAAGAAATCCAAAATTACTTCATGTTCTGGTTAGACTTTTATACAAATACATTAGTAAAAATAATGTTTGACTGTTTAGTTCTAACGTGGCTTTCATTAAAGGTTACCATTCTCTTTCAAATTAAATGTTTTGGGATGCTCTAATTGCTTTGGGCTTTTCTTTAATATTAAAAAGCAGATGATGCATTAATGGGCTTACTATATAATTGAAGCACAGAGGGCTCTGGAATCTGACTGCTTCTCTCACTTTTAGCTGCGTGACCTTAAGAAAATTACTACACATCATGGTGTGTCCACTATGCAGTTGTTAAAAGGGGGATAATAATAGTACATTATAGGATTATTGTGAGGATATAATGAGTTAATACATATAAAAGACTTACAACATTGCCTGGTCATATTAAGCACTCAATAAATGTTAGTTGCTATTGTTGTTATCTTTATTACTACTATTATTATTTCACACTGCTCTCATTACCTTCCATTCCAGAAAGTGGATTCTCCTCCTGTAAAACACATTTACATTTGTTGCTATCCCATAGCATGTCAATAGGACAGAGTTTCTTGGAATGGGGACAGCTAGGAAAAGAAATAAACCAGATTTAAAAGTTTTCAAGAGCAATCATACTTTTGGAACATTTTTTTTTTTAATGTTGAATACATTTTTGAGTGGAGAATAGTTAAGAGTTTTAAAGAGATTAATTCATATTTATAAACTGCATGTTATTAGTAATTCTGTAATTACAAATATTCTATTTAGAAACCTTTAGAAGTAAAACTATAATTTTGGGAAATTATAATCTTTAAGAAGATTCGTGTTAAAACAATGGAAATTAGCTGTCAACAGAGCCTACTTACCAAAAGTAAATATTGTTCTAACATAGTTCCTAAGCACTATCTTCTTTACAATAGAGATAAGAACATTGGCCACGACAGGAGGAACGTCTTGAGGATAAATGTCCCTTATATATGAGCTTTCCTTTCCTCTTAAGGGAGGTAGAGATGTTTTCTTGGCTCAGTGTTAACTAACATGTAACCACCATCTCACTCCTTCACTTGCCACTCACACATGCGTTTACTGCTTTACCTTTGCAAGATCTAAGTATCCAACTTATTTACTTTATATTTTTATTCAGTGTTTGTAATTTGACCTTCATTTGTTTATCTTTTTTTCCAAATCAATGATTCTTATCCTTGATTCCAGAACACTTCAGGGTGTTAGAATTTGTGTCATAAAGAATCACCGAATACTCTTAAGAAAATTTCAAAGTCAAATTAATTTTAAGTCATTTTCATTTAAAATAAGAATTTTCCATTTGATAATCTCCAGAGGAAGGGTTAGAAAAATCTCCAAACTCAGATACAGATAATTTTGTCACTCCAACGACTCCAGGAATCTTTTCCCCACCCCTAATTTTGGGACTGAAATATATAAAAAGCCTAGAATGAGTTTTATTTAATGTTTGTTCTGGAATGAGGGAACATGTGCCAAACTTGAGGCTGGAAGAAAGTTTTACAACTGCATTAGACTATGTGTATTAAGAACAAAGGTACCCATCAGCAGACATACTGAGTTAATAACCACTGAGTTTTTTGACCCTACTGCAATACACATATAACACCTAATAAAAAATGTATTTGCCAAACAGTTATCACCAGTAGATCTGAGTTAGAAGCTAAAAAATGAAGAACCTGAAGATAAAGTGATGACTCTCTAATTAATGAAGTATTCCACACACACAGCTTTGGCAAAAGCAAGAACAAGTATTAATCATTTACAAGAAATGCTTACCGATCTTCTTCCGGGACCTCGATGGATCTTCTGATAATGGGGTATGGATGGCTGGGAGCCGTTGACAAGCACTTACAGCCTGTATGGTTGGCAACTTTAACAGGCACTAATTCAGGTACTGATGTCAAAGGTACTGATATTTCAAAGAGCTAGAGTAGAGAAAAATAACCACAATACATACACATTTAAAAGAATAATTTCTACAGTCTGCATTTTTGCCTTTGTCCTTTATGGTAGTAACTTTAGCAAAGTTTTCCATTGAGAATAGAACTAATAAGGATAAAGACTCACATGGTGGAAAGAATACTTGGCTGGGAGTCAGGAGACCAGGGGCTTATCCAACTTTACCAGGTATTTAAGCTTGGTTAAATCTCCTAATTTTTCTGTGTCACTGGTGTCTTTGTAAAATGGCACTATTAATCCCTGCTCCTGCTTTAAATCTGAGTGTAAATAGTAAAGATTAAATGAAATTATACCTATGAAGTTTCTTTGAGACCATGGTGAAGAGATTATTGTTCAAAACAATTTACTTATCACTTCTCATACTATCTCCATTGAAGGAAGTTTCCTGTTCTTTGACTTTGGACTTGGCCATGTGACTTGCTTAGTTAACAGGATGGTAGCAGACATGACACAACTACAAAACCAAACTGTGTATGCTTCATAGGGCTTGTTTTCTCAAGTGTATGCAGTAGCCATGAGAAGAGCATGATCTAGCAGGCTTGCTGGTCCAAAGGATGAGAGGCACAGGGAACAGATCTAGATTTAGCCTGTAGCTTGGAGTCAAACCCAATGGCAGCTACTCTAAACTAATTAAATCTCAGATACATGAGTAAGAATAAGTCTTTGTTGTTGAAGCCCCTGAGTTTTAGGATATTTATTATGCAGCATCACATAGTAATAACTGACTGATACACAATCATCATGCCCAACCACTTAATTAGAGGTAACATGAATGTCACTCTATGTTTCTATATGCCAGGCCCCGTTGTAAGCACTTTTATATTAATTCATTTACCCCTTATAACAAAATTATAGCATGGGTTTTTATTACCCTCCCCCACCCTCTATAGGTGAAGAAACAGATGTACAGAGAGGCTATATAACTTCCTAAGGCCACATAACTATTGATTGGAAGAGTGGGGATTTGAACTCAGGCAGTCTACTCTAGAACAAGAGGTGATACTGTTAAGAATATACTTTATTACATTTTGGAATGAAATTGCTGCAACCAGAAGGAGTAAGTTGGGATCTCGGCAAGTAGAATTTAGAGAAATGTCAGTTACTTTGTTTCTAGAGTGGTTCTGTGGTATAAGGATGCATCTGAACTTGACTTTAATGCTCTGTCCATTCAATCACCATTCCATGTAGCCTTGCTACAGAGAATTCATTTATTCACTTTGTTTCTAAGAGGTATTTCATGAAATAGTCCATAACTTTGAGATGAGAGATAGCTTAAAAAAAAAAAAAAAAGCACAATTAAAATGTTCAAGTATGCATATTTGGAAATAAAAACTGCTGTACACTTACACTTAAGTACATTGTGTAAAACTAATCATTTGTTGAGTACAGCAGTCAAAATAAAGTACTTAACTATCTATTAAGTGAAAACAATCCATTAAACTTGTGTTTATTCTGACCTTTCAATATGTAATGGAACTTTCATGAGTCTGAGTAAGAGAGTGTTTTTAGAGTGTTTACTTTGCATAAACTTTATCTTCTTGCGAAATTTTTCAGCTATGCTAGGGAATAACATGGTCATGAACTAAAGCCTTTTACATTAATGCAAGCTTTGTTTCTTCTGACAGCTGGTGCTTAGCCAGACATACTTATGTTATTTTTTTACCTGATTGTCAAATAGTAGAGGTCAGGATTTACAAGTTCCAAGATTCTCTAAAAGAATTTAGAAAAAGAAACTATACAGTTTAAGGGGTATTTTAGGGAGTAGGGGAACAAATTTAACACATTGTATGAGGGAAACGTATTTATACGTTTTACTCTGACTGGTAGTAGAGCGCGCGATGAAAACTACCCGCAAACAATGTGTTAGGAATAAGTTAACTTATTGTCAAACAAATCAGCATCCCATTCTTCACATTAAATTAAGATAATTACCCAACATGGATATATTTGGTGCATATGTAATTTTATTATACTACTATTGTATATATATTGTCCATATGTATGCAGAAGAAAAACTATATAGGCAAATGTGATAATTAAATGAATATATCAACATGCACAAGGAATTTGCAACATAGAGCCAAAAGGAATGGAGCTTGACTTCTAGTGTTTTAATATGTTTTCCTAAGTTTGTTATTACTGCTCTCCTATGCAACAATTATATTTTACAACAATATGATAGCAATGAAAAGAAAAACTTATCTACTGAGCAAAAAGGATTTTATAAGATGGAAAGGGAAGAATTATTTCTTTCATGGAGACTGCAGAATTCTTTTCAAAGGTCTTTTGTGCTGGATATTTTCCATTTGCTTTTCCAGAGATTCAGTCCTCTCGTTCCTTCCCCACTGGGCTCTGTGACCCAGGAGGCTGACCTCGTGGGCAGCATCTATAGGTCCTCTTGCCTCCTCCACGCCCTACCCGGCCCTGCTCCTTGCCAGGCTGAGGGGTGGCAGTGGCCGCCATTCCTCCAGCCAGTCCCGCAGCCCTCTTCTTCACTTTCTCTCTGGGTCTCAGAGCTGCTCTTCACTCCAAGGGTGGGGGCAGGTCCCCCTTTTTGCTAGCTCTGGGCACTGCACCAGCCCTTCCTTCTTTCCCTCAGCCCATTAAACTCTTCTCAGTCACTTCATTTGAACAACATAGAGCCTAACTAATCAATAAGGCAGTGCAGCCATCTTCATTCCTTTCGATGTCTATTCTAGTAACTTCCACCTGATTTTCTGATTCTTGACGTTATAGCATCAGAGAGACAATAACTGATACAAATCCAGGCTCTGGAGTCTCAGAGACCTGGATCTGAAGCCAGCTCTGCCATAAGCTACTTCTCTGAGCCTGAGTTTTCTCATCTATAAAGGAAGATAAAAAGATACCCTTTAGCTTGTTTCAAGGATTAAATGAGACAACGTGCATAGAGCATTTCGCACAGCGCTTGGCAAGAGCTCAGCGGCAGCTGTCAACACTGCGGGCCTCGGGGCCGCGCGGGGCCTCCTACCTGCTTGGAGACGTAGGAGGTGCTGGTGTTCATGCAGACGCCGCTCTCCTCGTTGCAGCAGCCGCCACAGCGGAACACGTTCACGCAGGGGGGCTTGAAGAACCTGTTGGTGCTGCTGCCCAGCTCGCTGGCCACCTCCACGCACGTCTCTCTCGGGCTGCACTGGGTTCTCTGCCATTCCTCATCTATAACTGCAGAGAGGGAGCTCATGGGGCCAGCAGAAGCAGCGGCCCTGGCGCGCACCGAGAGCCAGGGTTATGCTGGACACAGCTGTTTTCACATTGGCAGTGTTTGTTTGTTTTACTAGACGGATATGTTCTTTTTATCAGTCCTTTAACCAAAGATTGTTTTCAGAGAAATTAAAACCAAAATCTGTGTTCTTTCCCCCTTATACAATACCTAGGTAGAATATAATTTTATTTTTCTTTGGTGAAGAACACGATATCCTGTATACAACCACATTGGGTACATCTAGAGAAGCTGGCTAATTAGGGAGTAAATGGATGTGTGTACAGAAATAACAGGTAAATGTTATTTATTAAGCAACTCGCACAACACAGCTGACTCGCATTTATTCTACTTGAAGCCAGGAGTGGAGAGGTTTTAGCACTATTGGGGAATACGTTTTTTGTTGGTTGCTTAACTGGGTCCTGCCAACAACCACTAAGTGAACTAGAAGATACATCCTGCCCCAGCTGAATCTTGAGATGCCACCTGTGGTCCAAGCTGACACACTGACTGCATCCTCTGGAGAGGCCCAAGAGAGACACCCATCTAGGCCATGTGTGCACCTATGACTCACAGAAACTGGGAGATTAAAAAATGTTGTTTTAAGCAGCTACGTTTTAGGGTAAGTGCTATGCAGCAATAGATAAACTCTTCTCCATTGTTACCCCGTCTTCAAAAACTGGTATTGGTCTCTCCCCAGCGTATTCTAAATTCCCATATATGTGAACATGTTTCCACTGGAAGAGACAGAAGAACTTCTGCTTAAAGCACACAAACATAATATTATTGTTGGAGATCCGACTATACTCTGTAAATTATTCCCTTAAAACATCTTTCCATATTCTTTCCCCCCCTAAATTTCAATTTTCCTCATATGTTGCTCCTTCAATCACTGAAAACACAAAATACAAGATGTTTGGCCAGCTGAGAAACATTGCATATACTAAACAACTTTCCTAAACTCTTGTTTTTTTTTTTATAGTAAAATATTTTATCCTGATACCTTTTTAAATTTCTAATTTTGAATATTTATACAAAAAGCCTGAACTCTGTAAACATGAAAGATAAATTGTCCAATTAGGTGTTAATATGGACATCACTTAATTCACTATTATTAATCATGAATCCTGGAAAAAACAAGTAATTAAATTACGAAGATATTCCTATTAAATTATTAAAATTCTACTTAAATATTGTTTTCCATTTGATTTTTTATAAAACTTAAGTTTTGAAAGTTGGAGTGGTAAGGTTTTAATCAAAATTGAGTGGAACTATGACCAATGACACCGAGTAAAAGCTGCATAACTCCACTATTCCTTACTACTGCCCAGCAGGACTGTTCTGCCTCCAAGATTACCCTGAAATCTATGAGGGTAGAGTTGATAACAAATTACAAGTGATATACTACATCCATTTGATTATTTACTGCTTCGAAAAATAGTTTTACACTTTTATTGGTTTCCTCCTTAGGAAATGTCAATGTCACTGACTTGTTTTTAGATCACCTAATCTTGGTTTTATGGTAATGCTTGTCTACCTTGTCTTTTTTTTTCTTTTTTTCCCCCAGGCCTTTCTACCCTCACATCAACCAGGTTTTATTTCTATTTTTTTAAAATTTATCTTTATTTTTGGAAGTATTACAGATGTCCCCCTTTTCCCCCCATTGATCCCCTCCATCCTGCATTCACCCCACTCCCAGGCCTTCCCCATAACAATGTCTGTGTCCATGGGTTATGCTTATAGACATGTAACTACTCTGATTAATCTCTCTCTACCCACTCCCCCACCCCCACCTTCCCTCTGAGATCCCTCAGTTGGTTCCATGCTTCTATGTCTCTGGATCTATTTTGTTCATCAGTTTATTTTGTTTATTACATTCCACATATGAGTGAGATCATGTGGTACTTGTCTTTCTCTGACCGGCTTATTTCGCTAAGCATAGTACTCTCCAGGTCCCTCCATGCTGTCCCAAAGGATAAGTGATCCTTCTTTTGTACAGCTGCGTAGTATTCCATGGTGTAAATGTACCACAGCTTTTTTATCCACTCATCTACTGATGTGCACTTGAGAAGAATGTATATTCTGCAGCTTTGGGGTGGAATGTTCTGTAAATGTCAATTAAATCTACTTGATCTAGTGTGTCATTTAGGGTCACTGTTTCCNCTTGATCTAGTGTGTCATTTAGGGTCACTGTTTCCTTTTTGATTTTTTGTCTAGAAGACCTATCCAGTGAAATCAATGGGATGTTAAAATTCCCTAGTATGACTATGACTATCTTGCTGTTGATCTCTCGCTTAAAGTCCCCTAGAAGTTTTTTTAAACAAATTTAGGTGCTCCTATATTGGTGCATATATGTTTATCAGGGTTATATCCTCTTGTTGGATCAAACCCTTTAGTATTATGTAGTGACCTTTCTTGTCTCTCATTATGG